CCCTGAGGTTTTTAATAGCTTTGGAGGTTGAACTAACCATCAAATGTCCAAAGCTACATGTAGATTGCCTGTCTTAAGAAAATTTGTATTACTCACAGTTTTGATCAGTCAGTAATTACATAGATACCCAGTCACCTTGCCATTAGGAAGATGGGCCACCAGTGAGCTTGGCACCAAAGTGTAAAATTTGTGCTTTTAAGTGGTTAGATCCAATTGTCTCTTAGAGTTTAAAATAACTAAGAAAACAATTAAGTCAGGGTTTTTAAAACATACATGTTTTTTGGCAAGGCTTAAATCAAAGCAGTCGGTCAACATAATATCTGTAATCAATCAACTTTGTGTTAAATTATTGATCTTGCCACCAAGGTGTTTTACCTCACCATCAAACACTCACTGCTTGGTGATTGTTGTAATTGTATCAAGTATAGCCATTAAATGTTTGATTAAATAGCTGTATGTTTGTTTTAGCTCTAACTTAATTGCTCATGGTTGCTATGGGGTAAAAAGTGAACAGGATCTCCTTGTGAGCTTTCAAAGAACTTGTTTTGTAGACAAAAAAAATGCATGTGATCGATACCATCTCTTGACAATGTTGTCGTTTCTTTTGTTGATTAAAAAGCTACAGTCAATTTGGTTTACTTTTTCTTTAATGAACATTTTAAATATTTACAGGCTAAACTTCATTGTTCAATGGTCCATTTGATATCTTTGATCAGATCAAATTGGTGGCATTTAAATCATTATGTGCATTTAACTTGCGTTCTGCCATCTTGAAAAAACTATCAAGCCTTCAGCATGGCTCTATATTATTGCTCATAGGGTTCTTATGGTGATGCTCATGAGAATCAAGATCAAACTCAAGGGTTGCCTAAAGCTTTGAATTTTTTCTTAATTAACTAGCAAACTTGGTGGGATGTTTACTGGTGATGAGTCTATCATGCGGTGAGAACTGGAAACCATTAAATAACATATAGTTCCATTGTCCAGTGAAAAGATATGATATAGAAACAGTTAGGGTTGGTAATTGGAAGAAGGTCTAAACTGGGCAGTGGATTTTGGTGATCAATGAACTTTGAAAGTTTGTCATGGGGAAGGGGGTGTTCAAAGTAATTAGATCTTTCTTTAAGTGCTAAAACAAGCCCTTTTGACAGTTTTGCAAAAACCTTGCCACTTTGGTAATATTTTCTGCTTAATTTAACCCTTTAACTCCCATGAGTGACCAAGACAGAATTTCTTCTTATAATATCAATACAATATCAAGCAGACAAGTGATGAGAATAAAGAAAAATATAAATTAGGGGATTGTAAGTTGATTCAATACCAAATTTTCCAAACTAATGCCACAAGAACTGTATGGCAGACATTAGGAAGAATTACTTATTAGATTTTGGATGTGAAAGGGTCTAGAGTGCAGTTTGGATGAATAAGGGTTAAACTTTGTGTTAATAACTAGCCCTTAGTATCCAAATTCATTTTTGTTATCATACATATCATTTGTGACAGATGGTAATTCACAATATTTGCACATTTGTATATGCTTTTGCATTGGTTTGCTTCTTTTGCTTGGTTGGTTCAAAGGAAGAATTGAAGGATTGGATTTTCAATAACATTTTACAGCTGTTTTCCTTGTTGTTAACTATAGGATATGTGCTTATGCAGATATCTGAAATCTGGACAACACCAAATATTTTCAGGTCTTTTTGATCTCGTTCACTCAACCATTTTTTCTGCTTAAGGAAGGCGGGAGCTGGGTTTATCAGAAACTGCATGGTGAAATTTCTTTAGGAGATGCTCATCCATATGACTGGTTGATATTTTAATTTTTTTAGTTGACTTCCGATTGGGCTTAGCACATTATCACATAATTGGATAGAGTCTGTTGACGTTGTTCTTTATTTTTGTCTGGAATATGAAGTTATTTATCAAACGATTCTATCTGGCGCCGAGGAATGATTTTTGAGACATCATAGTTACCCATATGAAACTGCCCAATATCAGGATAATTTAGCCTACTATATGCAGATATTTTCTTTTCTTAATTTTTCATCATTTCCATATATGTATAAGTTTGCATGCAGGGATTACTGTTATTTCTCCTTGGATTTCTAGCCTCTGTGCTAGAAACCCTTCAGGGGCATTAAGAAGTGATTTACCAACTTTGGCAGCCTGCCACTGCCTTTCTAAGAATGCAATCTAATGCCTCTTGAGGGTTTGGTTGAAAGTTATGTATGTGGGTGATAAATTAACCTCCTTCTTTCGGTGATATTTAAGATGAAGACCACCATACAATTGTGAAATTATTTAAGTTCCTGGAATCTGTTTTTGATCTTCCTAGTCCCCTCCCCCCTCACTTATTGGAGGTAATTTTATCTCTCTTTTTCGGAAGCATGCTGTTATGGATCCTGTTTGCAGCCCACTACTTGGTGTTGCAAGGGGGTGGGGAAGCTTCTAGGTTTTCATGTTGCAGCAATGCAAGTGTGTGCAAGGTCTTTTAGGGTGTTGCAAGGATTCTGGGTGGGAAATGAACCCCCCCCCCCAAAAGACCTATGGCACATTGGCTTTGCTTGCAGGCTCAAATCTCAAAGGCCTCATGCCACTTGTGCTGATGTCAGCTTTTAAAACTCTTTACGGAGGCCAATTTACATCACCAACTCAGTTGATAAAACTAAATTACCCTGTTATACTCTCCAATTGACACAGCACCAAAGTTTGTCTAGAAACTTGCCCCCTTTATTCATCAGCACCATTAACTTTTAACCCCTAAGAGTGGCAAGGTTCTAATTTCTCTTTACAATCTATCCCTTGATTCAAATGTTTAAATGAAGAGAATAAAGGAAATGACCAGCAACTAACAAAGCTTTTGATGGTTTTACAAATTCTCCTTGTTAGATCCCAGAAAGTGTATAAAGAACAGTATGGAGAATATGCACAATGATGTTAGAGTGACAAGGTTTAAGAGATTACTAGCAGGCTCACAGGCATTAGCACAAAAGAAAGACTGAAGAGAGAAACTCAAGGATAGGATTGTTGAGTTTGGCCATTTTATTGCCCTGCCTTCAGTCAGTATTTTTGCTTTCAGGTTAGAATTTCATCAGTAATATTGTTTCTTTCTCAGTCAAAATCATTCACTATTTGTTTACCATTCCCATCTTTTAGCTTTGTGAAAACTCTTGTAATTTCGTCTTTTGATGTGGAGAAAGTGTACTTTTTAGGCCATTTGCCGCAGAGTCCTCGTGAGTTTGAGGCAGAGACTGGGACCAGTTGTGGGGACTGGGGTAGTGGGGGCATTATGGTTAGTTCATGGTAAGAGTGGTAGTTTACCTACGAAATCATATTTAATCAACAATTCAATTAACTCAGCTCAAACTTGGTGAGAAGTACCCAGGCAATTACCTACCACATGACTGGTTTAGAATAAACTTGTTGTTTATTTTAGGTTAATGATGAACAAGTTACTGTGAAGGGCTATTTTGATGGTTAAATTGGGGTCCCTCACTTTTTTGTCATTTCCTTTTTAAAATAATCACTTAATTTTTGGTACAATAATAAGTTGTTGGGAATAAGTTGTTGAACAATTTTGGAGAAATGAAACGAGCCAAAACGATTGGATTACCTGTGGTTGCCATAGCAACCAAACAACAAACAATGTACTAGCCTTCAAAAGCGGCTGTTTATTAGCGGCGCATGAATAATTAAGCGGAACAAACATATA